TGAAAGAAATCCAAAAACTTAACGCTTATAATATTACGTTAGAGCAAGGGTTTAAGAAACGAAAAATTGATGCGGATATAGTGACCGAAATACGAAAAAGATTAGGCATTTGGGAAGAAAAAGAGAATTAAAGTGGAAGGAAAGACGAAGAAATAATCGGAGTTTATGGAAAAACAATACCTTGACTTATTGGACGAAATAATGAAAAATGGGGCCAAAAAATCCGACCGAACCGGGGTCGGAACCAAGGCTTTATTTGGCTGCCAAATGAGGTTTGACCTCCGTCAAGGATTCCCCTTACTGACTACTAAGAAAGTAAATTTTAAGGCTATCGTTCACGAACTTTTATGGTTTATCAAGGGTGATACTAATATCAAATATTTGGTCGATAATGGCGTGAATATTTGGAATGAATGACCTTTTGCTAATAAAATAATAATCTTGACCGTCTTTTTCTCCCTCGCGTGGTGGGCGAGTAGTAGTTGAAATTAATTTAACAATATTAGGGTCCTGGGCTAGTAAACTTTCTACTGTCGTTTTGCCGGTTCCGCTTCCACCAGCAATGATTATGAGCGTATTTTTGCTGTTGTTCGGATTGCCTTGATTATAGACATATTTTTCGAACTTGCGGATTTTTTCGAGATAAAACTGGTAGGGCTGGTGACCTTTGGCCTTGGGACTAGTAGAATTACTATCAACAAATCTAATGCCTAATATTTTCTCAGTCTCTTTAATAGTTATTTCCCCAGCATATTTTTGGATCCGGAAAAAATGGACTTTTCAGTGCCGATTTCCTGGAGGTAAATTACCATAGAACACATTTTCTTCAGCAATTTTTTGACAATTTTCTATCGTTAAATTAGTCTCTTCAAATACTTCGCGGCAGGCAGCCGCTTCGGGCATTTCGCCAGGCTCGATTTTACCACCAGGGAAGTTCCAACCCCATTTATCTTTTACTAGCAAAAATTCCCCTTTTTCATTTTGGATAATTACTCGTACAGATTGGGGCAAACGGGCTTCACTTTTGGGCACGCGAGTTTGTTTAATTATGTCCTGAACTTCGGTCAATATTTCGGTTTCGCTTCGATCCGCATTAATTATGTGAATCCTTTCAGGGAAAAGTTCTTTCAATTCCCGATAGTGATTTCTTATTCGGTGGTGA